AAAACCGCTGCTGATAAACAGCTCATAGATCAAACAGAATATTTTTCTCTAATACTTTTATATTTTACAAATACAAAAAGACAATGCATGATGTGCGGGCAGGAAACCTCCCAGTATATGGAACATCTTCTTTTCTCAAAAAAGTCGGAAAGTCTTGCCAGTATGATGGTACCCCACATCATGAATTATTGATCTCTAATTTTCCATCTCATTAGTCAATCCAATTCAATTAAAATTCACCTGCTCAGCATCAATTATTCTATCAAGCAGATTGAGTAAGAATCTCGCATGATCTGCTACGGTCCTAACTGGACTTTGAGCATTCGAAGGCGATGGTGATTGTGACGAAAAACACGCTTGTGCCACTGGACATGAAGATTCGAGCTGAAATCAGTGAAAATAACTATCATAATAGACTAACAACATCTCTAAGCAAAAATCAGCATTAACTCTAGGTTAAAATACAGATATCACATCTCACAAGTCTAAATACCCTTATAGATCACCATAATATAGATAACCATGATTCTAAGTATAAAACACATAAATATGACTCAATGTGACATCTCGTCATTTTTTTTATACTAATATCCTATTCCACGCAATTACGTACATACATAGATGGCTACGTACTTCCGCGCCAGATTAATAAGAGCTCAATATTCAGTGTCCTGATTTGTTGCACATAAATTGAAAGTTCTTCTAAGAGATTGGAAAAGATCAAAGGTTTTGGTCCTTCAGCTTGATACTTCCATCACATTTTCGGTGAAAAAATTTTTACGTAATTTTTAGGAAGATAAAGGTGAACACATTTTGGCTAAATTTTATTTTCCATTGTATTGAGCCCAGACTTCCTGCAGAGCCTAGCTATAGCCGGCACTTTCTTAGAGTTCAAACCCTCACAAGCCTAAATTAACTTCCTATCCCTTTTGTGAGCAATTTTTCGCGACTAAGTATATCAACGGCTCAGAATTCCAGTGCCGTCAGCATGACGAGGTTTGAGTTGTTCAGCTCAAGCGAACAACAAACAAACAAAGCATTACACCGATCCAGCGATCAAGTCTTTTATAAGAAAAAAATGCGACTTTTTTAGAGGACATAATGGTCTGCACGGTAGAAAATTATTTGAATGGTACGTGCTTCTGGCTCTTTACTGGTAAAACTGATGTTCTATGAAAGTTTGTTTCGCCGGATGTCAGATAAAGATATAAGGTTATTCTGAGTAATGCCTCAAAATTCGACAATTT